CCTTATTTTATAAGACAACATCTGCCATTAAATTTGGAGCTAGCTGATTAGGCTAGACCAACTGGCCAGCAAGCCCCAGGAGCCTTTTGTCTCTACCTCCCTGGTGCTGGGATTACAAGGAGCTTTTGATGTGGGATGTGAACTCAGGTCCTCAGGCTTATCTGTAAAGCACTTTACCAATTGACTCATCTCTTCATCCATAATCAATCATTTTTTAAAGGGTAAAAGTATTAGTTGGGCAATAGGCCTCTTACTTAGCATGTGTGAAGCCCTAGGTTCTATCCCTAGCCCTGGAAAAAGAAGTTAAAATAAAAAAAAAAAAAAAATAATATGGGTCGGTGGTCAAGTGTTGACCTAGCATGTTCAAAAAATAATAATAATAATAATAATAATAAAGACACAGGGTCCATCCCAGGGTAACTAATCACTCCCAAGAGATGTCTCCCGAGTGCTGGGATTAAAGGCTTGTCACGCCACCTCTCATATCGGCAGTCTTGAGCTGTGAGAGAGTGGGCAGAGATGATGTCTTTTCTCAAGACAACACCGGGCAGCTGGGAGAGGCGGGGCATGGTTACTTTTTCCGACAGGGGTCACTAGGGGGCGCACGAGTCCGAGCAAGGCATTCTGAGAAGCGATGCAAGCGGGTCCAGAATCGGAAGCTCCCATGAGGGTCCTAGCCGTGGAAGGATTGCTCTAGGCTGCGGGGAATGGGGGCTTAGGATGGGGGGTGGCTAAGTCCCTCAGTCTCCAGTCTTCCAGCGGCGTACCTGTCCCTCCTTCCCTCCCTTCGGTCACCTTTCTGATTGAAGAGGGAGGCTTACCCCCAGGTAAGAGCAGGACTCACCTCAGCGCATGCTCCCTATCTGCCGGAGCCAGAGATGCTCTGGTGGGACGAGGTCTCTGGAGTTTAGAGATCGGAGGCTCCACGGATTTCCAGGAGCCACGCAGAGTTTCATGAGAGTGATAGCCTTGGGATTCTGGGGCTGGAGGAAGGTTCCAGCTTGTCCCCCACCCAAGATGGTACTCCCTGGCCTCAGTTTCCCTGGCCTCTTGGGAAAAGGAAAAAGAAACCAAATGTGACCAATTACCTGCCATGATAAACTTAAAAGAGAACAAGAGTCATTTGACTCACAGTTTCAGAGAGCTGCGTTTAGTGGCTTGAAGGCAGTCATTTCAGTATTGTTTTGTTTCGAGACAGGGTTTCTCTGTGCAGACCAGGCAGGCTGTCCTGGAACTCAGAGATCCGCCTGCCTCTGCCTCCGGAGTACTGGGATTAGAGGTGTGTGCCACCACCGCCTGGCTCATTTCAGCAGTCTTACAGTGTGAGAGATCAGGGCAAAGAGGATGTGAACCCCCCTCGGCTTTGTGGTGGGTTGGTTTTGCCCTTCGACCTGACTGGAAAGAGAATCACCCAGGAGATTAGTGCGACAGTCGGTCTTCTGGGTCAGGGCGTTTCCAGGGAGGATCTGCGGGAGAGAGAATGCAGGCGCCACTTATGTCATCCCATAAGTTGGGGGCATGAGTGGAATAAAGTGGGAGAGAGGAGAACGGAGGCGGGTCTTCCGTCTTTCCCCTTCCTGTGCAACCTTCACATGAGCTGCTTTGCCCACCACTGCGGTGATCTGCCTCCCCTTAAACCCAAAGTGAAGAGACTAAGGGACCCCGGAGGACACCTGACTCCACGAGCCGAAATAAACCCACTGTTTTCTCAAGTATAAAAGATGCTCCGCTGGGGAGACAGTGTGGCAGGGCACTTGCCCAGGCACCTGAATCTCACAAGTTGTCCTCCACGAAGGCATCATGGCTGTGCAAGCGCGCGCGCGCGCGCGCGTGCGCGCGCGCACACACACACACACACACACACACACACACACACACACACACACACTGATTTTTTAAAAAGAAAGGAAAGAAGAAGAAAATTTGACTAGCACTGGCTTCCAGCTAAGGATGCTGAGAGGCTGTGATGCAAGGTAAGTACATACCGGAAAGCAGGCAGCCTGCACAACGCCTGAAGCCCACCCTTAACACCACCAGGATAACCTGGTCACATTCCATCTGTCTGCCACTGTAATACCAGGACATAGCATCACCCACAGCCTCTTTTTCCAACCCAGTGCCTAGAAGCCACCAGACACATTCTAAAAGGCGGAGGGAGAGAAGAAAACATCCGAATAAACACCTGTCCAGATAACTACAAAAAGACGCTCAGTGTTTCCAGTCACTAAAAAAAAAGGAAAATGAAAGTGAAATTCAAGCAGGTTGTCACTGTGCACTTGGAGAAAGAGCTAAGGTTGATTACAAGTGTTGACAGAGACGCAGTGCGAAGGGGACCCTCCCACGTGGCCAGTGAAAGGATGACATTGGACAGCAGCTTGGTCGTTTACGAGGAGAGGAAAGTACTCCGTAAGCCACAGGCACCACCGTGACAGAGCATCTGCCCTGAATGACTTAAAGGAGGACAAGGGCCTTCGGGTCACAGTTTCAGAGACTTGGTCATGGTCAGAGCTCTGTTGTTCTCACTCCTGTAGTGAGGTGAGGCATCATGGGGGAGGGGCGTGGTGGAGGAAAACTGCTCACCTCATGACAGCCAGGAAACAGAGACAGAGAGGAAGGGACCAGGGACAAGGCACACCCTTCCAAGTCATATTCCCCAGTGGCCTACTTCCTCCATCTCTGCCCTACCTTCCCACAGCCCCTTCACTATGAAGTCATAAATGGCTCACACCCCCCACCACGAGGCCAGAGTCCTTAGGATCCAGTCACATCCCCAAAGCCCATCACCTGGCCATGGAGCCTTTACCATATGAGACTTCTGAGAACATTTCAGGTTCAAACAATAACGTGTACCTACGATGTGACCCACGCGTTTCTCATCTAAGCATTGGTATAAGAGACACGAAGATATAGCTCTACAAATAGACTTGTATGAGGATATCACAAGGACTCTTTTAAAATAGTTCTAAACTGCAAGTAACCCTAATTTCCATCAAAAGGCAAATACACGACACTGATCAGCAAGAAGAAGCTGTTGATACATACAGCTACAAGCTAACTTCCCAGTGAGAAGCAAGATGAAAAGTAATACTAGGGGATTTGATTTCTAGAAAATTCAGATTGCTATAATGATAATCCAGTGGTTGCCTGGAAATAGATGGATCACCAAAAGACACAAGGAGGCTTCTGAGGGTGATGGAGACATCCACTCTCTTGATTATGATGATGGTAAAAGTCATCAAAGTATATATAAGTATCTGCAATTTAGTGTATGTCAATTATCTCTCAATAAAGCTGTTAGGAAAAAAATACTAGACATACCAAAAAGTGAATTAAATCAATTAATAAACTGAAAAAATATAATAACTGAAATTGACTCTAGAAAGAGAGATGCATAGTGGACTAGAGGCGCAAATAAGAGAATTTGTTCACCAACAGTAGGTCAGTGTGAAACTCAGAGTCACTCCAAAGATGCAGAGAAGATGGCTATTGAAGTTGGGTGGTGGTGGCGGCGGCGGCGGCGGCGCACGCCTTTAATCCCAGCACTCGGGAGACAGAGCCAGGTGGATCTCTGTGAGTTCAAGGCCAGCCTGGTCTACAGAGCAAGATCCAGAGAAACCCTGTTTTGAAAAACCAAAAAAGAAAAAAGGAAAGAAAGAAAGAAAAAAAAAAGATGGGTGTTGAGGTGTCTGAGCAGGTGGAAAGCCCTCCCTAATGCAAGGCTGATGTCCTGAGCTCCATCCCTAGTATCAATGGCAGAGGATCAGCTCCTGAAAGTTGTCGCCTGACCTCCACATGACTGTGTAAGCACATGCATGTATTCACACATATGCAATAAATAAATAAATAAATAAATAAATAAATAAATAAATAAATAAATAATGTGCAGAAAAGGGCTCGAGAGATGGATGGAGCCCACAGAAGTCTGGTCTCATGGCGTTGGTGTCCCTGACAGAGCAGAAGGACAATGAAGGGGTGATACATAAAGAGAGAGTGGCCAAGGATCTTCAAAACATGGGGCTGGGAAGAAACGGCTCAGCTGGTCAAGGGCCTGCCATGCAAGCCTGAGGACCTGAGGGTGGATTGCCGATGTCCACATAAAAGCTGGCTGGAGAGGTATGCATCGGGACCCCCTGTAAGTGCTGGGGAGCAGACACGGAGTCCCTGGAGCCCACTGGCCAGCAAGTCTACCCAGTCACTGAGCCTGGGTTCAGCGAGAGACTCTGTTTTCAAAAACCAAGGTAGTGATGACTGAGAAAGACAGCCAAAGTTGATCTCTAACATCTACACACATGCACCTGAGTGTGCACACACACACACCTACCTTTGCACACTCACAGTAAGAGAGGGAGAGAACTTTTTTTTTTTTTGAGACAGGGTTTCTCTGTGTAGTTTTGGAGCCCGTCCTGGATCTCTCTCTGTAGATCACGATGGCCTCCAATTCACAGAGATCCACCTGCCTCTGCCTCTCAGGTGCTGGGATTAAAGGCATGCGCCAACGCCGCCCGCCTTTGGAATGAACTTAAATCAAAGAAAGATACAAAGCCACAGAGAGATACAAGTCCTACATGACCTCTAAGTAGAATAAATACAGTGGAAGCCACGTCCTGTTGCTCTGTAGCATACAGCCAAGAGGCAAAGTCAAAGAGATCTTAACAGCAGCCCGAGGAGAGGAAACACGGGCATGCAAAAATAAAAAGCAAGTCAAAAATGAAAATACATAAATAAAAAAGACCAGATATGGTGGCATATACCCCTAATTCCAGCACACTCTGATCTCTGTGAGTTCAAGGCCAGTCTGGCCTACATAGCAAGCTCTCAGTCAACCAGGAATACATGGTGAGACCCTGTAGCAATAATTAAATTAACTAATTTAAGAAATTTTTAAGAGAAAATCTCATTATATTGTTCCCAATGGCATCAGACTCTTGGGCTCAGACAATCTTCCTGCCTCAGCCTCCAGAGTTACTAAGAGTATAAACTGGTGCCACCATACCCATGAAGATTTTAAATAAAAACAAACAGGCCAGGAGGTGGTAGTACACGCTTCTAATCCCAGCACTCGGGAGGCAGAGGCAAGAGGATCTCTGTGAGTTTGAGGCCAGCCTGGGCTACAGAGCGAGATCCAGGAAAAGGCACAAAGCTACACAGAGAAACCCTGTCTCGGAAAAACCAAAACCAAAACCAAAAACACCCATAATTTTTACAAACAAATCTGAAGATACAACAAATTCAAGAAGATAATGGGGTAGTTTGTTTGGGGGGAGGGAAAGTGGAGCCTTGGAAAGGCTAAATCAGTGGGGAAATCTGAGCCCAGACCCCGTAAGAGCGAAGGGTTTTTGGGGTTTCAGGTACCAGCAGGGCAGGACTGCCCGACAAGCACCAACAGTCTATCTGGTCCTCTGTACCACAGGGTGGGATGGGCACAGTTTTCACGGCCTCGGTGGAGGCAACTGTTCCAGGGAGAACAAATGCAAGAGAGTCTAAAAGGCACAGGGAAATCGCCTGGGACAGTGGTTCCGACTCTGACATGCCTGCCTCTTCCTCCACTCACAGCCAGGCTTCTTGGGGAGTTCCCACTCAGCGGAGGAGGAAACCCAACCGTTTCACAGCGGACAATCACTGGATGGAGCTGCATGCCCACAGGGAAGGGCTCCCCGGAAACTGCGGTGACGAACCTGCCACAACTGTGATAGTTTGCTTTAGAGACAAGAGGGCTTGGGGAGTAGCTCCACGCTGATGAGCAGCTGATGGCAGCAGTTTGCCGTGATGGCCAGGAACTTTGAGGCCAGATGGCTGCAGACAGCGAGGGGTGGGCATGGCATGTCAACAGAGATGTCCTATGGAAGCACCTGGATGCTATGTCAGTTTCCGTGGGGGCACCCATTTGCAGGAAAGATCTCTGAAGCCAGTAGTCAGGCTCATGAGAACACAGTTTTGTCCTGTGGCTGTTCTCTGTCACCGGGAGCATTCCAGGCATGACCCTTTCACTAAGGTTTACGGAGACATCACTGTTAAGTTCTCAGATTGCTACAGGTGAGCAGAGGTCAGCACTGAGCCCTGATGTTGCATCTTCTACATGGGGAGAGGCTAGCTCGCCACCCAGGACAGGCTGATTGGGACAGCATCGTTCCCTCATGAAGGCAGCTGGCATCCTCACCCTCCCTACTTATACAGTTTCTGCCAGCACCACCATCTGAAGATTTTCAGATGCCCTATATGTTGTCATGGTAACCCACACATCGTTTCCAACTCCTGATGGGAAAAATGCATGTGGCAAGGAGACCCATGGAATCCACTGGTCTTACACTGCCCATCTACTAGGGGATGAATAGAAACCTTAGGGCAATGGTGAAGGAGCTTGGCTGCTTCTCCCACAGCAGAGTTCCCAGTCTGTTCATGGACAGGGTTTCCCAGGAGACATGCATTCCATTGCTCTGAGATTAAGCCCGGGTAGAGATGTTAGTGATTGGAAGAGGGGAGGCCAGAAGCATCCAGAAGGAGCCAAGGGTTGAGGCTAGACGTAGGAACGCCTCATTTCAGCATTTCTACATTATAACCGTCTTACGAATGCTTGCCCCCTCCCCAGAACTAAGGCTCTGCTTGTTGGACGAGAGGGGCACTTTCCCAGAAAATACAGCGTGAGTGCGCATGCCAGTGGTCAGTCCTATTGTGCTGTAGAA